CACACACACACACATATTAGGAACACCAATTCTTCCAAAATGTACAAGAACCAGTAAATTTAAATTTATTCTAATTGCTAAAATAAACTAATAAAATATTATTAAAAGTTAAAATTTACTAATTATATTTCTTTATCTATGTATGAAGGTGAAAATAGGTTAGGCTGAGTTAGATTTTAATTAAATAAGTTTGAGCCGAGTCTATGTGATAAATTAGATGTCTAAACTCTTGAATTAAAGTATATTTTATCAATAATATAAGGCTTTTTTTCAAAGCCTCGCTTAGTTTAAAAGCTTATTTGAGAGCCCACTTAAAATAAGCTTTTTTAAATAGGCTCACACTTTAGTTTTAAATGTTTTAAATACACTTTATAATTAGGACTATTATAGTATATAAGACATAAATTAATTTATTAATTACAATATAAAATAATTGAAAGGACTTATCTACTACAATACAATATAACAGTAAATTAATAACATTAAAATTAATTTATATATTCGATATGATTGAAAATATAACCAAAAATTTAAAAAATGAATAAATTGATTAAAAATTAAATCATAAAACTAAGGCATTTGTTATATATATTATATACAAGCATGCATATGTAAATAAGTTGGCCTGTTAAGCTTGTAGATTTAGCTTGAAAAAAAAGCTTGGGCTTTTTAACTAAATAGGCTTTATTAAAAACCTGAACTTGACTTGATCTTATTTAGTAAATAAGCTAAGTTAAACCTGAAGTAAGTTAGGCTGTTGGTTCATATTAAAAGCTTGGCCTATTTTCACCTCTGCATTTTAAAATCTTAAAGTAAAATAAACAGTAGTGGGATAGCCCAACGTTCTTTATGAAATATTTGCATGTGTTTCAATAAATTTCTATAAACTGTTTTGATTTTTTGTTTACCAAATTTGTTTATTATAGGAATATTGAAGAATCTGGCAACGTGAGAGTGATCATAATCAATATTTTGTGTGAAATAATTGATATTGAACGGCACAGGCATCTAAAGAAACGGCAGAATCCAGGAAAAGAAGAATTTGTCTGATTTTGATGTCTTTATGCTCACACACCTTATAATAATTGCCCTCCAAAGCCAATCCAAATCATATCATCAACACCTAGTGATCCATGTATAGTTTTTGTTTATGTTAATTTAACACCACAAAACATGTGAAAGAAATAGTAAGAAGAACTAAGAAGTTCATTACTGCTTCTAGTTAAAGAAAATTACCATGATAACTGAAAAAATATTTATATCAAAATATCACAATATAATAAATCAATGTTCGAATCCCTGCCGAGAGAGCTAGTCACCAATATTTAGTGCTTGATTGTTCTCCAATTAGATTACCTCCAATAAGAGAATATCCCTTCTAGTGCTTAATATAAGACAAATTTAACCAACTTCATGATTATTAGGAAATTTAGTTATATATATATACACACACACTTAAATTAAAATTGTAAAAAAATATGTAACTTTTCATATTTAGCCATCTCATTATTTTGTTAAGCCACAAGACGTGAAATTAATTAATAATACTTTTTAAAACCTTTTTCACAATACTGCTACTATAGGAGCACATTTGAAGCATGAAAGGTTGAAAATATCTTCTCTAATAAATTCTCATCATTTATTTTTCATTACATAATTTCAATTCAGAACTTTTTTTAAAATTGATGAATTATATTCACTCACAATTCTAAAATCTTGCAACCTTAAATACATCCATTCATATCAAGTTTTAGGTAAAATTATTGTTTTCTGGTAAGCATACCTTTCTTTCAGGTTAATCCACAATTCTAGTGGATCTTTTATGTTTAGGCACTCAACTTTTAACCCTTCATGAAAATAATAACAAAGGAATATTATTGCCTTGATTTTATCTTAACTACTTGCTTCATTTTAGGTAAAATTACATTTCCTAACATTTGAGGTCCGTTGAATTTCAGCTTCTAGCATTTATGATAGATAATTCTTTCCCGTAATATCAAAAGCCTTAAATTCAAGTTTGGTGAGATCTCATGATTCAAACTAAAATAATAATAATAATTAGAATTATGAGAAAATTGATAAATAAAGCATAATAGATAAATATTATAGTAAAAAAATCATTCACACACACATACTAAAATGATAAATAACAATGTAATTTATAATAAAACACAATATAAAGAAACACAAATATAAACAACCAAACTTACTAATAAAGCATAATAAATATAAACAAATAAAATAAAGCAAATAAATTGATGAATAAAGAAAATAATTTATATAATATTAACAAATAAAACAAATTATATTAACAACTTAAAACCAATTAAAAACAGAAAATATATAATATGCATATATATAGTATTAATTTAATAGAGGACTGAAAAAAAAATAAAGATAACATCAAATACATAAACATAAAGAAAGAAAAATAATTATATCAATCTTCATAAAAATATAGAACACAAAATAATAAAAATAAAGGAATGAATAGTTAATGAGACTTGATTAAATTATATCCCTAATCACATAATTATTTTTAAATGAATTAAATGGAGAAATGTAAAATCACTTTTTAACTAAGAAAAGGAAAATAAAAAATAAAATAATAAATATAATGTAGTAAATATATAAACGACATAACCATGAATGTTAATAGAACAATAATATAAAATATAATATAATATAATATAAGAACATATTAATTTAATTAGCTAAAATCTCATACTTAATTTTTAGAATTGATTCGTGCTGATAATGTATTATAAAACATAGTAAAATGAAGAATAGAGAAGAACAAGATAATACAAGAAATGAAGAGAAAATAATGAAGGAGAGTTCTTATTCACTAGTATACTTATATTTTGGGCAAGAGCTCTATTTATAAACCTCCAATCATTTAAGTTTTATCTGAATGTTACAAAAATTTAAAGAGATATATCATAGTGAGGTTATAAACTATTAACAACAAGAAACTCCTTCTATGATATTATTAGGACATTAAAGATAAATGAATCTTAAGAATTATAAGTTATGGACATTTAAAACATAATATTTATGATACTTAATATATTTTGAATTGTTTTTGTAGGTTCAAAGATTTTAAATATAAGTATGCGTTTTCATGAAAATATACTTTTGCCCACAGAATATATAAAATAAACAAATATTGCATTATTGTTCACATATAAACCTTGTCATGTACTTTACGAATATTGTGTTGCATATATGAAACTTGCACATTATTGTTTAACTTAACAACATGAATTATATATGATAAAATGATATTGTATTATTTATGTATAGACTTTATTACATTCTTTACAGACATTATATTATACATACACCTAGAAAATTTGTTCCTCATTGTTCAACATAATTGTACAAACTATGTGTAATAAATGGACATGATATTATTCATGCATGGACCTTTTCATGTTCTTTGTATATATTGTATTGTACATACACTCAAAAAACTTGTACATTTGAAACAAATGTATCTTTTCACAAAAAATATATATATTTGTATTTGGGACTTTTGAAACTGTAAAAACAATTTAAAAACGCATTGGCCTTAGGCACGGTTTTTTCCAGTCATTTTCACCGTTGAAATCTGGCTAGAATGGTGCTAAAAATCGCACCGGAGCTATGTACCTGCAATCTCTAGAAGGACCAAGCCCTTTTTTCTTTGTTGACCTGGAAGGACCAAGTCCTTCGTAGGAATATTCTGGCCAAAAAAAAAAAGAGTCCTTTGTAGGAATAAAGTGTAAGAATTAAAGAACTAAATGAACCCTGACGAAATCCTCTCCCGCTCTACCCCGAGATTTTTTAACAAATTTTTCTATGATCAATGTATTAAAGTATGGACCATGTTATTAAATTTGCCTTTAATTTAACGGAGAAAGCAAAGTCACATCAGTCGTATAAATAAGGATATAATCAAATAAACTGGTAGAAAATATATTACTTTGAATTTTAAAGAAGACATGTAAAATGAAACAATTTTTTTATTATCATGAGTATATTTACATCTTTTGTGTGTTTCCATTTTCAGGCAATTTAGTTAAGTATTTTCATTGGTAGTCTTCTTGTTGTAAAGTTTAAAAGTATTTTTATCTCTTCCTTTTTTTAATAAATAAATTGAACACCAAATGCCTCTCTCCATGTCATCTCTATGTTTAGTCGAAAACATTATTATTTCTATATAATTAAGATTATTATTAATATTTAGAAACCAAAAATATATTTTTACTATTTAGATGAATTTATATAAGTTTTTCCATATCATTTTGATTTATAGGGTGACTTGAATCGCAAATGATTTATATATTCATTATATTTTCCATGCGAATATTAATATAAGATATAAAATTTATAACAAGTCATATTATTTATAGGTTCTGAATAATATAATTTATTCTTTAGATGTAATGCACATGGTTTGCATTCCCTCCCACCAAAAAAATAAAGGTCTACTAGATATAGTTATTTCTTAAAAAATTATATATTTATTAGATTTTGAGCAAGAAATCCGATATATGATATATCATGTGTAAGGTTTTCACTGGTTCGATTAGTCAACAAACCGTGAACATAGAAGACCATTCTATATCTTCCAGCACAAGAGTTTCCCTCTGTTTTGCTTGCTGGTTGAGATTTGGTATAATGACATGGTTTTGAAATTTTATCAAGCCACATAAAATAAAGTAATGTTGATTCATTTGAAATTAAAAAAAAAAAAACTCAGTAACTGATGCTCAAAAAGAAAACTAACTAATTACAAATACATTTCACAATTCATAACAATTCAAAAGTTGAAGAAATAACATTGAAGAAACTAATCTAGGAAGTTTGTGGAGAGTCAACATATTGGCCTCTCAAGAGCTCACACAGATTTGAGAACTCCATCAGAAATGAGAGGTTGAAGAAGAATCAGTCAGAGACAGCCATTTGAAAGTAACGATTACAAGCATAGACAGAGCAAAAAGCTTGCAACATCGTCAAAAGCAAGAGACAAATTGCAGACAAAACGTCAAGAACTGCCATGACCCAAAGATATAACTCCTCATGAATTTCCAGGCTTTCACCTTCAATCTTCCATCATAATACTTGTTCACATCTTCAACCACCTTATCCAACAATGGCACTTTCGTCAACTTTATGGACTTGCTCATCCCATTCCACAAGTCAGCCACTTCTTCATCACTCTTCAAGTGGTTCAGAATCAACCCTCTTTCTCTCAGCACCTTAGCATCCTCATCACCATCCACAATCCCATTCATTAATTCTGTGTATCGTGTCAAAACCAAAGGCCCAGACGCTACTGATGCTTCAAATGCAATTAAATTTCTGAATAACACTTCAGTGTTGACGTCTAGACCAACTTTTGGAAGGTGAAAAGTCAATGTTTTTGTGTCAAATTTGATGCTTGATATGGATCCGTTAGTTGGTACAAAACTAACACCAGAATTCGTGAGTTCAGTAACAGATGGGATTGCGATTTCCTCTATTAATGGTGGCTTCTCAATGAGACTATTTGAGGCTGAACCTTCATTTTCTGCCTTTTCTTCTTGTGTGAAGTGAAAAAGGTGCTCAATAGGTTGTTTCATGAGTTTAACTCCGGGCAGGTTTGAGATTATTGTCCATGGCAATTTAACAAACACTTTCAGGGGTCTAGAAAGCAACACCTTCTCCATTAATCTCACAGGCCCTGTGTCTAGTTTTGAAAGGATCTTCCATACCTCCCCGAGGAATTTCTTCAAATAGCTTGAGTTTGTGCTTGATTCCTCGTCATTTTTCCCTCCTTGGGATTCTATAAACTCATCCACATGAATAACCAGATCAGGCTGTTGATCATTATTAGTTCTGGGAACAATCATGTCGTAAAAGAAATCCAGCAAATGAGCACTCTCTCAGATCTGAACATCTGGATAATCCTGCATCATTTTGAAGGGAGAGAGTTCATTAAACAACCCGATTAGGATAAGAGACAGGAAATCATCTGCATCGTCGAGTGACGAGAATTTGAACTCCAGCATCTTCCTTAAAACGCACAAAGGGATTTGATTCTCCAGCATGACTATGTCCCTCAGAATTGCATTGTGGGCTGATTTCTTCCCTGCATAATCCACCAAGTGAGACATTCTGGAGGAAATTCCAGGTATCTTGTTTCCTTCTTGGATTGCATAAACTTGAAGGAACTCAAGCAAGAATGAGGCGTCAATGATGATCATCCACACCAGCGTTTCGCCGTTGAAATCCAAGTACTTGTGGTAGCTTGCTCGAATGTTAATGCATGGCGATATATAGAAAAAGATTAAACGAAAGAAACTAAATTCTCTCGATTCGTCGTTCAATTCAATGTTTCAAGCTACTTCAATTGGAGAAATTTCACCATTATTGTCTAACTGTGTGTTTAGATTCATAGGAGAAAGGTTTATGAATTTAGATTTAATTTAAATTTATTTTTTATAATTTTAATTTTTTTTATATCATAGTTATTTGAAAATTCCTGTCATTTTAAATTACTTATTCTCTTCATCTTTTTACTCTTGATATTTCTATAACTTTAAAACTTTTTCTCATTTTTAGTTTTATTCATGGGCAAATGACAAATAAAAGTAAATTCATTACTTTTAATTTCTCATTTTCATTTTAAATATCAAGTCATCTGTTTTTGTTATTTAAAATTTTTTAAACTACTCAAATAAAAAAGAATTAAAATATATAAATTTAAAATGTGGAATTTTAAATTTAAAATTTAAATCCACCAAAGCATTACTTAAAAGATATATATTCTAATATCTTAGATAGAATGTTGGTTAAAAAAAAAAAATCTTAGACAGAATTTATTATTCTATGCAAGGTAATCCTCAGAAGACAGAAGCATATGAATCGGTGCATATGTAAGACTTTTGTAACTTGTGTTAATTTTTCAAAATAACGTAAATATCATCGGATGGTTTATTTTTATTTTATATCTTAGCTAGTATGAAAAAAAAAAATGCTACCAATTACATTTTCCTACTCTCTCTTTCAAAATTTAGTCCCAGATCTATTGGATTGAATTGTCGTCTCAGAGGTTTATGGACCTTAGCCTCTTCAAGTTTATACAATATATCAGGCCTACTTTGAGTCTGATTAGTTCTTTCGGAGAGACCAAAGTGCTCAAGAACATGAGAATGACAATTATAATTAGGTCCTCCAATAATGGGGGAACCAGGACCTGAGCCAGGGGTGGAGGGTAATTAAATTTTAAAATAAAAATTTTAATTGAAAATAATAATTACATTAAAATTAAAATTGTAATATATAACCTTTACATATTTTATCTCAATCATTAAAATATTACATATTTAATAAGCTTTTGAATCGAAATATTTTTTATTTAGTCCAAGGGTCAAAATATTAAGAGTAGGGGTGAAAAATTATTAAATTAAAAATTTAATTAGATGCCCAACTTTTAATTGTCCAAGGGTAATTTTTTTCTGTAAAATCAATTGAAAATGAGAATTCTTCTATTATTTAAGTGTTTAAATTGCAATGTATTTACTCACTCTGATAAAAAATGTAAAACATTTTTTTAAGAAGTTGAATGTTTAAAAAATAATTTAATACTCCATTAGATGAAAAAAATAATATTAAAGAAAGAGAATATATAAAAAGAGTAATATTGAAAAAAATCACTAATGAAATTTTATTTTTATCAAATTATTTTATATTTTAAAATGTTAAATTTTTTTAAAATGTCTTATAATTTAGAATGAAGGGAATATTATAATTTGCTCTAAGTATCATGTTACATGTCACACTTCTCTTCTGATCTTTTGGCATATTTTGTGCTTATCAAGAAGGGACAGAACCATTTGATCTGAAGACTGAAGAGACAACCTGAACGGCTGCAAAACATGTAACAAAGTGCATTAATTTACGTACCTGGGCTCCAACTTGGTCATCTGATGCATGAGGTCTTCAAACTTGTGGTGATTTTGCAGATGATGTTTTCGGAATCTTCTTGCAGCGGCAAGCTTGTACGTCTGCATCTCATACAGCTCTGGTCACCAATAATGGTATGGTCTTGTGGCCACTTGTTGAGGCACATAAGAATCTGGATCACACACCATGAGCAGCTTCGGCACGTTGAAGATCGACACTGAGTTCACCTTCTTCTTCCTGTTCTTCCTCCAGGGCTTTTCGAATCTCCATTACCCATTGAAGCTCATCGAAGTTTAGCCTGAAGCTATTATCTGAAACTGAAGAAGATCTAAACGAAGAAGACGACATTGTGCGATGACGACGACAGACGAAGAAGAATCTGCTTTAAGGAGAATAACAATGGAGCGATGCTTTTCTTGGCGTAATGTAAGCATCAGTGTTATACACACACACACATTAAAGGCTGTGATTTATAGTATTAAACAATAAGGAATGTTTTTGTCGTGCTTTAAAGATAATATAAATTACAAAAGACAGATTTGGAAATGCTATGCTCACTCAACGTAAGGAGCCTGTACAAAAACAATTGATTATATAGATAAAATGTACAGCAGAGTTAGTTACAGCATGGGGACCACGTCAGTCCTATTCTATAATGAGAACGAATCAGCTACAAAACAGACTAAGAAGAAAACAATATATAAATGGGCTGCAAATTAAACTTTAGGCCGTTTGGTCTTCTTGGACTCTTTAACATTCCCCCTCAAACGAGAGGTAAATAAAGTGAGACCAAGTTTGTCCTGGAGAAAAAAAAATCGAGAGGAAGGTAGAGGCTTGGTTAATAAGTCAGCTAACTGATCTTCAGAAGGAACAAAATGAACAGCAAGTGACTTAGCAAGCACTAAATCGCAAATAAAATGTGTGTCAATCTCAATATGTTTAGTGCGTGCATGAAAAACTAGATTTGAGGCTAAAACAGAGGCACTAATATTATCACACCAAATGACAGAAGTTGGCTGTGAGACTAATCCAAGTTCACCAAGCAACGAGCGAAGCCAAAGAAGTTCTAATGCTGTATGAGCTAGGGACCGATATTCAGACTCGGCACTAGAACGAGCAACAACTAACTGTTTCTTTGAAGACCAAGAAACCAATGAATCACCAAAGAACACAAAATAACCACATGTAGATTGACAATCGTCTGGACAGCTGGCCTAATCTGCATCTGAATATGCAACAAGATCAAGACAAGTAGACTTCTTGATATATATGTAGACCAATATTCATGGTTCCTTTAAGATAACAAAGAAGTCACTTAACTGTATGCTAATGGAGTAGAGTTGGAGCTGATAAAAACTTACTAAGTTTACTTACTACAAAAGACATATCTGGCCAAGTATTTGCTAAATATTGCAGAGAACCGGCGACACGGCAATAGTCAGATGCCGAAGGCAAAGGAGCACTATAAAAACAAGTGAGAGTATGACCTGGAACCACTGGAGTAGTGTAGGCAGAGGAATCACTCATGTTAAACTTGCCAAGAAGATCCATAATATACTTGTCTTGATTTAGATAAAAACCAGATTCATCACGTATCACCTCAATTCCCAAAAAGTAATGAATAGGTCCCATATCCTTAAGAGAAAATAACTCACTAAGTTTGGATATAAACTGAGTCATGCTTTAAAGATTTTTACCAGTAACCAAAATATCATCAACATAAATGAGGATAATCAAAATTTGATCACGATCCTGAAAAATGAATAAAGAGGTATCACTCTTACTGTTATAAAATTGCCATGACAAAAAAGTAAATCGAGGACGATTAAACCACGCTCGAGGTGCTTGTTTTAGACCATAAAGCGCCTTTCTCAATCTACAAACATGATGAGGTTTGTGAGGATGAACAAATCCTTCAAGTTGAACCATGTAAATAGTCTCATGCAACACACCATTCAAAAATGTGTTATTAATGTCTAGCCGTTGAACACTCCAGTTATGGGAAGCTACTAAAGCAAGAACCACGTGAACATTAGATGGCTTAATCACTGGACTATATGTTTCACTATAGTCTATGCCAGGTTGTTGTAAGTATCCTTTTGCAGTGAGACATGCTTTACATCGATCAACTGTGTTATCCAGCTTGAACTTTGTCTTGAATACCCATCGACAGCCTATAAGATTGTAAGAAGAATGAAAAGGAACTAAATCCCAAGTATTATTATGTATAAGAGCTGCATATTCAGCAGACGTTGCCTTCTTCCAATGAGCAAGGTGTAAAGCTTTATTAGCAGAGCACCGTTCAGTATATAATCATTGAGGATCGTACTGAGTGACGCCTACGTAAGGTTGCTTGGGTTTGAAAATGCCACTTTTACCACGTGTCACTATAGGATGAGTGGGCAGCGCAAGTAGTGCTTGAGAATCATTACCAATCGAACCTGGACTACGTTGAGCAGATGATGAAACATTATCATATGGATTAAAACGTGAAGAAAGTGACAACGCATTTGTCACGGTGTGGGAAGGTGTTATATGGGCTGACTCGGACAAATGAAGCCCATCAGAAATCAAAGATGGTCCAGGTGAGGTCGAGGATGTATTGACACATACGGTAGAAGCTAACATTTCAGTATTCATATCAGCATTTGCATGAGAATTATCTTAACCAGCTTCCTCTGTTTCAGCATCTGTAGAACAGAGCATAGGAGACAGAACTGACAGGGGGTAAATATTATCAACTATTCTTCTGGGTTGTGAGGAGATCTCTGCAAAAGGAAAATCAGCTTCATTAAACACTACATGGCGTGAGATAAATAAGCGGCCAGATGGACTCAAGCACTTGTATCCCCTATGTGAAGGGGGACCCAGATAAGTGCATTTTTCTGACCGAAATTCCATCTTATGTTTATTATAAGGCCTGAGACATGGAAAACAAGCGCAT